GCGGTTCAGACCAAAGTTGACCTACGAGGCTACGAGCTGTCAATCTGTTAGGTTTCCTTTGATGTAGGTGTTTAAACGAGTCTTTCCAGGAACCTAAGTGTTGGAGTTAAATCCTGTGACGCGGTCGTTGTGAACAGCTGTTACTTCATTACCCCCGCGTCTTTGAGCAGATTGAACCGTGTGCACATCGAGGCTCACTCACCCGGTCCTCTTCTTCTCTGAGGTCTGGCATGGTGCTGATACACAGGCTGACAACAGTCACCGCAACCATGATCACCGACAGGAAGGCGAAGATCTTTCCCGGGACGCCAGACTGCGGATTTTCCACGGTATCTCTCAGCCAGTTCATCACTTTACGATATTTGGTTTCCTCTATGACGACTCGCTGCAGGGCCTTCCTTTGCCGGCATTCCCCCTCTCGCCGCTCCTGCTCGTGCACCTCCTCCATGCGGGTGTACATTTTCCTTTTGCAGCAGCGTTCCATGTAGGTCATCTCCACGCCCCAGTAGGTCAGCTCGTCGTGCAGGGAAAGGACGCACATCTCCCGCAGCAGACGCAGCTTTCCCGCAGCTAAGAAGTTGAGGATGACCCTGAAGGCGGAGGGCGAGCGGTCGAAGAAGAACTCCTTACGAGCTTCGTCATAGTCGTCGCAGACCCTGGCGATGTCCTCGGGCGAGCGACACCCGCAGAGGCGACCCAGGCGAGTGAGGGGGAACTGTTGCAGGGTGCTCCAAGGAAAGGTGTAGCGGTTCCCGCCAACGTTGATCACTGCCAGGAGCCCGTGGTCGACGGACACCAGGTCCTCTGGCCTCCTGATAAACTGAGCCCTTTGGTAGTACACGCCCTGGAGAGTGAGAAACAAAATTCCCATGAATGCCTTGATAATAGGGATGTCCGATATTAACTTTTTGCCGATATTCAATATGCCGATATTGTCCAAACACTTAATTTCAGATTCCGATATCTGGTACCAGCATTCTGCATACAATCCCTGATTATTTGAATAGATTAGTTAAATGAGATGCAATGCTGCCATCTAGTGACTTTCACTTTTATATACAGCTGTTTGTCCCCAAAAATATTTTTTGGGCACATGTCATTTGACGAAAACCAAACCCATTGCGTTATCATTTTTATTAACCAATAACGATTCTTACAGATATTACATAATTATGCTAATGTTGGCCAACATTCCTACGTTTTAGCTATTGGCAAAACATGTAAATGGCAAGAAAATTAAAATTAAATTCCAAAAGCCGAAATTCCAATTCAATATACCTTCCCCCATACCTTAATAGTCTCCGTTTCCGGAATCTCTGTGAAAATGCGGTCGAGGCTGCTGTCATCACTGACGGAGAGGTTGCTAAAGTCATGGTTGGCATTGCTGATGATGGGCATGGCGGCATCTGGAAAGCAGGCTGTTCCGGACCGGACAGCTTAGAGCAGGCGACGAGGACAGGAAGACGAGAAAGAAAAAACAAAAACTTCTGTTTCAGGACAAAGCAGTCCTGGGAAAAAAATTTTACATTAAAAGGTTCCAAAAATAACTTCCCCGGCCCAGCTCTGGTCTGAGACAGAATGTCTTTGGTCTCACAGTTTCCTCACAACATCGTTTTCACTCAGTGACACGTAAGCTGTGGCTTTAGACTTTAATCAACTCGACGAAATCCCAGAAAGTCGAGGAGTGACGGGAGTCAAGTGAAGCTGCTGTCACATTGGGAGGAGTGGGGGGTTCGACGCTGCCGTCAGTCTTCCTCACTGGCCTCGGCTGGTGCCTCGGGATTCAGTGTCACGTCAGCAGGTAATCCTGGTCTGAAGCCAGTCTCTGCAGAAGGATGGCCCAGAAACAGAGAGAGGTGGGTTAGAGTTGATCAATGTTGATAGATACACAGGATAAATGAAGGAGTCAAACGTGAGTCACTGAGAGACCGATCGTCGGTGTCACCGGAGAGATGGATGGATGGAGGAGGACCTACAACAGGAGGTGGCATCGTACAGTTATAGTGAGAGAGAGAGAGGGAGAGAGAGAGAGAGAGAGTGAGGCTGTAGGTGAGGATCTTAAAGATACTGCAGTGTGTCCGTCTTCCACCTCCTCTCAATATAAAATCACTTTTGTTGCTACGAGGTTTTCACAGGAACGATGCCACAGATACGACAGCACAGCCAGGTTTGTGAGGTCTATTATGGACCTGGAACAGCAGCACGTCAACATTTGCTGACCATTCACTGACCTCAGAGAAATTATAGTCACTGGCTCACTTTTATTTATATATCTATGTTTTTGGCTGCTTTTAAACAAACTTAGATCTTAGTTATTTTTATTGGTTATTGGCAGTTTCACCAAGGCAATTTTGGAGTCATTATTTAATAATAATAATTGAGACATTTTTTCATCCCACAATTGGGGAATTTATAGTGTGTGTCAGTGAGGTGATATTAGGGATTTGTAGTTCCTAGATTCTAGGAATCAAACCCAAGACTCGCTGCTATCTGCTTGTTAGCTTACAGGTGTGCTAACCATTAGATAATCTGCTAGTTCTAACACTCATTTATGTGAAAATTGCATTTTGTCTGCTGCAAATTTGAAGTGATTTTTGGTTCATCTTCAGCTGTTTAGCAGCTATGTACAGAAAAATTCAGTTTTTTTTTTGTCCAAACTCTAGGCCTGTCCTACATATTTCTTGGCTAATTCAAAGCTAATTCTTTTATTTTGTAGTTGGCTAATTTAAATCTATCGTACTACAAAGCTGTAGTTGGATTTTTTTTTACTTTCTTTTCTAGCTGTAAACTTAAGTGTGTTTTTAGGTTTATAATAAACATGAGACACTGTCATATCAAACAACAATCTTCAAAAAGTCTTCAACCGCACATGACGAAACTCAAGGACGCACCTACAAGGGTTTTTAACCAACAGCCTAAGGCCTTTATACTTGAACCATGGCCGCGGCTCCACAGGCAGGAAAGCTTTCAACTCCTCAGGTGTAAAGTACAGCACGGAGGAGGCGAGACCTAACAGCTTAGTCGCTGGCGTCCTTGGAGTGAGCGTTAGAAAGTTAGAGGATTTACAGCCAAAAAGAACATTCAGGTTGTTCACACTCAGACTGAGTAATTAGCTGTTAAATATGGGCAGCAATTACTGCAGCAGGCAGTGTTAAAAAAAAAAAAAAAACAGCATCCAAAGTGTTTTCTTGGCAGTTTGATTCCCATGAAACTTACTGGCAGTCTGGCAGCCGCCGTCGCAACGGTTGCCCAGAATGTTTTGCTGCGTATCGAAGTCTTAAATTGTTGAGGTTATATTCCTCACTGGGTCCAATTATGGCATCCAAATATGTGTCCAGGCCTCTGATGCATAAAGATGAGCAGCTAGAAATTCTCAAAGGGGAATTAAAAAAAAAGTAAAGACGTTTTAATGACATTTAGCCAAGAAAGAAAGTTTTCTAAATCACGTTCAGAAAAAAAGAAACATTAACCTTTAAGTCTTTTATTAATCACTGCATTATTCAACAACTTAACCCAGTGACATGTTGACTACAGATATATCTGGGTTTGTTTATCAGTGACTTGGTAATTGGCTGCTGCAGCAGTGATTTATTTACACTTTGTTAAACAAAGTAAAGCTCATTAATCCTTTTTTTTTTGTTTGTTTCTTTTTTATCTTGTTTGCCAAACCAACCTTGGTGCTTTGAACTGCAGTACCCACAGTGAGTACAGTTGTCTGTGGGAAACTGCAGCCAGACATCGAGCTCTCACGCTGCTGGATGAGACATCATTTCTAACAGCAATTTAGCCAAAAGTTGAGGGAAACTTTCAGAAAAAAAAAAAATATATATATAGCCAGATTTCTTCAGTTTTGCAGTTCCAACAAACTCTGGTGTTTTGAATGAATATTTACAATGACTTCCTCAGGCGTCGATGTTTCAAATAGATACTCAAACAGGACTTGACGTCCTTTGGTACTGACCCTCAAACCCGACTGGATCCTGAATGGCCACCAGGGGTCTCACTCTCAAATCAAATCAGTCACCTTGAAGCTGGACAATTAATGCATTTATTTGAAATAAAATATTTATAAAATAATAATTTCAGTTTGCTAATTTCTGTCAGCTCAGGTCACACCGACGCGCACACTCCAGCCCAGTAGGTGGCGGTAATGTACCCGAAGTTTATGGCTTAGGCGATAGCAGCTTGAATAACAAGATGCCTTGCTGGTCAAACAGAGTCAAAGCGGCGGACTCCTCAGGCCGAAGGGTGCGCCAGCGGTTATGCAACCCTATATTTAGCACCACGCTAATAAACTGGGACTAAACCAAAGACAAAATACTGCTGTCTTCATTTTCAGCTGACACACAATAGCTGGGCTACAGTCCAAGTCTGAGGGTCCAGAGATAGAGTGGGACTCACCCTGTGACCCAGGTTGAAACAACTGCTCTGATCCTTTGGGAACACTAACAACCAAATCAGAACTGGACGTTTGCCCTGCGTGTTCCCCCTGCGTTCCCCCGGCTTTGGTGAGAATAACAGATTTTCCACACATGCTGCAGTAATTCTGGATTAAACCGGACTGTGAAACGGCGGTTCCACGCGTTTCTGCGGCAGTGAAGGATCAAACCAGTTCACGCCGTTCAGCGTAACCACAGCGGTGCCGAGTGTTTGAGAGGACACAGCGGACAGTTTGAAGCACCGGACCGCACCAACACGCGTCACTAATTTAGGTCCACAGGGACAGGATCCTGTACTGGAGGAACTAATATATCACCGCTGTCACAATGGTGGTGTTTCATTTCTACCTCACAGCGAGGGAGAGAGAGTGAGAGAGAGAGGGCATAGTGAACTATTTCACAATCGATTGGTGTTCCCTCTGGATGTGGCAGGACTTTCCAAGTGGAAAGTTAATTGAAGGGGGTGATTTCAGAAGAGCAGTGGCGTTATCAGCTGGACACAAATGACAGGCAGCCACGGAAGAAGATACGACAGGAAGTGTGAGGTGGAACTCCAGTCTGTCCTCATTTTTTTTTATGATTTTCTTGATGAGTTTTAATGTGAAGTTTTGATGAATTTTAAAAATATTTTTCCTTACTTTTGTTTTTGTTTTATTTTTTTATTGGATGCTCTTGCAGCACCTCCCCTGCAGGGGGTGGTAAATGCATTTGTAAACGCAAGTGAGGTGTAGCAACAGATACAACAATGCTGATTAAAATGAAAAAAACTGTAGTTTTACTTCACAATTTGAAGTTGCTAAAAAGTTTCGCCAAAACTTTGTGCAGCTGGCATCGTTAGAGTTGCATTACTGCCACCTACAGGTAGATAGGTGCAGGTGTCAAACACAGCATCCACACAGAAACCATCTGTACATCACAGGACATTGATCTTGTGACCTTTTTGCAGTAAGGCAACAGACCGACCCACCACCACCATACACTCCTAGTCCTGCATTTTAAATAAGCAACGCCTTCTATTTGTTCTTTTCAGAGAAGAATCCTGCATCCTTTAACCCTTTGGTTCAAACCCATAAAATGTCGTCATTCACTGTAAAAAAAATAAATGCTTAAAAAATAATCAATCAGTTTTTGGAACTATTTTTAGTGCCAGTGAGAGAGAGAGTTCCTGTAATGATCCACCGAACTGCGCTGCTCTCAGTCACTCAGCTGATTTTATATTCATGGACATGTCAACAGTGACTGGAGAGACCGTGGTTCATATGGATGCTCGGAACCCGAACCCCCCCCCCCCTCCCTCCGTCTCTCCCCCCTCTCTACACAACTTCCAGAAACACTGAACAAATGTCAGAGAGTTGGATGCGGGGATGGAAATGAATGTTTTCAGAGGCAGATCATCAGGACGGAGTCAGTCTCTCTCGGTACGCGCTGTGGACATTTGGAATTTTTTTGGATGAACCGCGTTTGATCCAAACGCGTAAAAACAGACGTAAATGAAAACGGCTCAAAGAGGCAGAGGAGGAACAGAAGCCAGGAGACAGAGACCGTAAAAAAGAAAGGCAACTTCATGCAGTAAAGCCCAGACACCAGCATAAGTTGAGACGCGCTCCTTACCATCCCGATCCGCGGCTCCACCTGCTCGGTCCGTTATAGAAAAAAAAAAAATATATAAAAAAATTAGAAATCCCTTTGTTTCCTCCGTTTGTTTTTGCATTAGATTCACTCCCTGCTTCTACAACAACCGCATCTAAAGAAATAAAAGCCCAGAACGACGCCAGTGGGGGCGGGGGCGGCGGGGGGGTTTCAGCATCATCTCTATCATCCACGCGTGTGGAAGAGAGCGAGACCGCGCCAGGCATGGAGCGGTGTGGAGAGCTGCTGCGGTGGAGGCAAGTGTCCCGTCACGGCTCAGTTAGTGCTGCTGCTGCAGGAGGAGGAGGAGGAGGAGGAGGAGGAGGAGAGGGAGGGGAGGAAGGAGGAGGAGGAGAGAGGGAGTCAAAGCAGCACCAAGTTCAAGTTTGCCTGTAGGTGGCGTGTGAAGGTGGAGTGAGTCCATGTGTGTTTTTTTTGTCTGCTGCCAAGAGTGAAAGACAAGGACAATAAAACAGATGCTCTCTCGTCTTCCGCGCAACAGGGGGCGCGGTTCTCTCCCCTCACTGAAGGAGCTGCAGTCAGACTTTGGTTATGTTCACTAGAGCCGCAGCTATCGATTCATCTATTGATTACATTTATCGATTAAACGCGGGATGTCTGAAAAGGACAAACTACTGCTATGAATGCACTGTTTTTTTTATTTTATTTTTAAGTGATCCCAAAGGACATTTTATTTAGAACTTTATCTCTGATCTTGAACTGAGAAAAGAGAAGAGGAGGTAGCTAAAATGTTAATCAATCAATCAATCATAACAAATCTAGGATCAGCAAAGAAAATCTTCACAAGCGGTGAAACGCTGAAAGACGAATAAAAACGCCGGGGGAGGAATACCGAGCAAAAAGCAAACTAAAAGTTAGCCCAAATATCCACAATTTATTTCAAAATGATTAATTTCCTCCGCAGGTAGAAAAGCTAATAAAGGTGAGTGTTAAGCGGGTGACACACACACACACCCAGCAGCCGGACTCACCCGTCTGTGTGTGACCTCATCTCCACGTCAACACGTCCAGCATCGACTCAACCTGCGGCCCAGTGGCCCTGAATCTGAACGTTTAGCTGGTGTGAGGATTCAGACTTTATCTGCATCAGCCACTTCACCAACGCCGTCCTTGAGCGGCAGCTCATTAGGAGCACGCGCCTGAGGGAGCTGCGCAAACAAGAAAACACTTTGTCCAGACCCTCCGACAACAGAGGAGCAGAGGAGACAACACATTAGAGGTTAGAGATGGAAACTGTGCAGGTACGGTGGAGGCAGCAGGGGGGGGTGAGGGTGGGGGGGTGGTCTCTATCACTCCATCACACTAAAAGGAACGGCTGGATCTGTGTCTGAGAGTCTTTGTGAAACTATAGAACTCAGAAATTTGGGACAAAGTAGGAACCATCCCATCAACCACCATCTATGACTCAGGTTCTTACGTGTCAAACTCAAGGCCCGGGGGCCAAATATGGTACGTCAAGTCGTTTTATGTGGCCCTATAGGAGCTTAAAAAGCATTTAGTAAAGTCCAGGCAGCAGAGTTTCTTAACGTGAGAAATTAAAAGTTTTTTTTTAATTATTATTATTATTACACAGCAATGAAGAATATTTGTAGCTTGAATAAATAATAATCAATCGCAGAAACATGTGTCAGTCTGTTATGGACACCAGTGGTCTCCGACCTTTTATGCTCCAAGGACTGGTTAGTCAGTACCGCCCGTTACGACGGACCAGTAGCAAGGTCAAAAATTATATATATAAAAAAAACTGCTTCTGTTTGTATCAGAGTCTGACTGATCTCTTATTTTAAAACATTGTCAGAATATCTTTAAATAAAGGAAGTAAATAGATATAACTGGAGAGACAGACAGACAGACAAAGACAGAGAGAGAGAGAGAGACAGTCGACAGAGAGAGAGAGACAGACAGACAGAGAGAGAGAGAGAGAGACAGAGACAGACAGAGAGAGAGAGAGACAGACAGAGACAGACAGAGAGAGAGACTCTGATGCACTTTGTCTTTCTGAATTCCACCTGTCACATATTTTCATGCTCACACACTGGTTAACACACACTGACAAGATGACAAAAACAGGCCTCACACAGGTGTGTGTGTGTGTATGTGTGTGTGTGTGAGTGTGTGTGGACAGGCTGGGCACAGGTGGCAGAGCGGCGGCCCGTCTGAGTTAACCTGCTGATGTCCAGCCTCTCATTGTTCCTGTTTCATTAATCCGCCACACACCTGCAGCTGTTCACCACACACACACACACACACACACACACACACACACGCAGTCAGAGCCAACGTGCAGCTCAAACACGACACGGATACTGCAGGAGGCACAACCGCCGCCGCCGCCGCAGCAGCAGCTTCTAATAGCAGGCCTCGGTCTGGAGGATTAAGAGTTTAATCCCTCACAGGGGGGAGGGGGGGAGGGAGGGAAGGAGGGAGATGAGATCGGAGCCGGACGCTGTTTTCTGAGGTGTGATGAGCGGCGGCGCTGTGAGGAGCATGCAGAGGAGGAGCAGGGAGGTTTAAACACACCTGAAACCCCCCCTCTCCCCCCTCGCCCTCCTCCAGGTTTCCTGCCCTTTCCAGCCCTAAAAACCAGCTCCCTGCTCCGCCTCTGATGTCTCCGTCTGCTGCTGCCTCTGCCTCCTCCTCCTCCTCCTCCTTCCTCCCTCCACTGAAGAGTGTTTGATCTTTGAAGAGCTCAACTTTTGATCAGATTAATTGCTCCCCGTCTTAGAAGACTGTGTGCAAAGTCAGATAACACTTAACACCGAGGCTGGAAATGGGGGCAGAGGGGGCAACGAGAGGGAACAGACACCGAGCGCAAATGAATGGAAAAAGAGAAGAAGACGTTTGTCGGAGATAAGAGGCGGAGAGTTCAACATCTTTCCTGGAACAAAAAGGGGAGAGATTGTGAGAAGATGAGTGAAAACAAGAGCTGAGGGTGAGAGAGAGAGAGAGAGAGAGAGAGAGAGAGAATGGACGTCCACGGCTGACACTAACATCTCAGTCCAGCCGTGACGACCTTGACCTACAGATGTGGAAATGGATACAAAGACTGAGAGTTTGCTCTAAACGTAAGGTGAAACCTGAGGAAGACGATTATATCACACACACCTCACTACATTTACCAACCTCTGCTTCACCTTTCCAAACCAAAAAAGCGTCTCAATTCTCCCACACCCCCAACCTTGAACCAATCTGCTCCTCGGACTGCACAATTTGGGTTAGGAGTTAGCAGTCCCTCGTTCGAGCCACAACGGGGAAATTCACAGTGTGAGTCAGTGCAACTCACAGGCTCCCCCAGGAGGTGCCATTAGGTACATGTGGATGGGGCTTGGACCCAGAACCCTATGCATGTAAGGCAGGTGTGTTAACCGCTACACCATGGAACCACTATTGAATCCCAGAGTTATTTTATAAAAGAACAGCAACTGTCTTAACATAAATTATTTCCATCCAACCAACCATCCAACCATCCATCCAACCATCCATCCATCCATCCACCCAGAGGGTTCACTCAACACCATCCATCCATCCATCCAGAGAGTTCACTCCAAACTGCTCTGTTTCCAGAACCAACTTTCAGAGAACATTCCATTTCACGTTTCTACTTCAGTTCATTTTCACTTGTTTAAGCCTGAAACACAATTCCCTAAATAACAAGGTCTTAAAGTTGCACAAAAAACAAACAAACAAAACAATCAACAATAAAATGGAGAGTCTAATGACTTCAGTCTAACTCTCCGCTGATTAGTTCAGTCTGGTCTGCACCCATTTTTTAATGTAGCTTTTAATTAAGACCAACTTAATCGACACGTGTAAAGACATCCCCCTGCTGGCTGCAGCCGTTAATAACCCTTTGACCATCTCATATAAACTAATTGGAATAGGAAAACAAACAGATTCATATACAGAGTGAGAGGAAGTGGAGCCTGGCTGCAGAGTTACACCACGACAGCAGTGAATGATGACCTCCACCTGGGGGATCACCAGTGATTGAGCCACGGCTGATTACTGAATTCCCATCCGATGCTTTGGACGTATAAATATTTAGACCTCTGCAGCCCTCGTTGGGGTATTTCAGACGTTATAGATGTGCTGCTCAGAGCAGGAGTGATTCATATTCAAAGCAGGTTTACAGCTTATCAACACGGCTCCCCGCTGACTTCAAAATCCCTCTCAGCATAAAAGGAAAGCCTCTGCAGCGGCTGCCAGGTGCGGCAGCTCTCACTGCCACTTCCACGGCGTCCGTCTCTGCCGTTGTTCTGCCTTGTTAGCCGGGTACAATAGTCCACAGACATCCACAGACTCCACAGCACTCTCAGTCTGTTGTCCGGAGACACTGAACGACACTGTCTTTTCACGTACCAGCTGATATCTGAACTCACTCGCACGGTGCACTCTAATCCAATCCACTTAAAGGATGAAAGGCAGCCCATTAAAATGCCCCTCTCGCGGCGCAGGTATCTTCTAGAAGGCAGTTTCCCCAAACTACTACTCTGGTCTCTGCCTCAGGAAAAACACCAAACTTTAAATTTGTTTCAAAAGCTTTGCTCGGACCTATCAACTTCAACACGGTCAGAGATTTCTCTGCTGGAGAAACAGATTTGACCTTGGATCCGTGGCTTGTAGAATTTAACTCCACGGATAATGAAAGAAGTCGAGCGCTTTTATTTATGAAGGTAAAATAAACCAAACGTCCTTCAGCTGAACAACAGAAGAGGTGGAATTTTTTTTAATTAATTAATATTAGGCTTTAAAGTAGTTTCTGTCTGTCAATCACATGATCTGTTGCTACGGTGATTTCATTGAATTAACTGTATTTTATGGCTTTCTTTAGATACGGACAAACCATGGAAAAACATATTCCATAAATCCATGAGCTACTGGTGAAAATGTTAAAATATATTTTTGATATTTTCCATAATCAATAATTGACTGATTTTACTCTGTTTTGTTGAATGAGCTGATCATAATAATAACATATCGTCTGCATATAAACAAAAGTCAACATCCGGTGAATTAATTATCACTCACTCTAAATTATTCATGATGTCTTGTAATTAGTTACACATTTAAGAATCTGGCCTACGTCACGTCACAGTTTCAGTCGCTGGTTACCAACAGTGCACCGACCAATCCTGGACAGTTTCTGGACAACCCTCGTTGGTCGGCTGGAAACACAATCCACGCTGACTCTCCTTACGCTCTCATGTTCTCAGCAGCTACGACCGTCCACTCCATCTCATTACAGGTAACACGATACGCAGCGGCTCGTCCTGGGATCAGCACGGAGCCCTCGATTGAGTGATAATACGCCTGGCGAAAAGAGAGAGGAGACTCACCTAATCTAGCGGCCTAATCAGCTGTGGACACCATCAGAATTAAGTTAATTGGACGGGTATTGATCCTCTGGAGAGACTGCTGATTCCGCCACTCTGTCTCTGTGTCTTTTCATGTGTATAACATCACCAAAGAAGGATTTTATGTCCTGTTGTAGCTACTGTTCTGGTCATAGTTTTATAATTCACTTACAGATACATAATCCAGAATGTCATGATGACAAAAGGAGCAACTGTTTCTGAACCAGAGCTTGAAAAAAATACACCGAGCAAAATGTTTGGCCACAATGTTTGGATGAATTATCCGACGACCCAACACAGATGAAATACATTTTAAACAAAAACAGAGTCGACAGAAACTCTAACTCATCCGCCTGCGCACAGGTGACTCAGTTACACTGACCACCTTCGTCTCTATTTATACCCCAGCACAGGTGCCCGCCGAGCGCGCAAACGACTGGAAACTCAGCGGGATGACTCTCCAGTTCACGTTACAACACTGTAAAAGTTGTATGACTGCTGCAGTCCCCACAGTGACTGCAGTGACTCACGTCTGTGTTTAAACATGAAACTCTCCTTTGGTGACGCTGATAAGAACCCACTGATCCCTGCAGTGGCGTCTTTTTTTTTTTTTTTTTTTTTATCTCAGTGGATGGCACTCACGGTTTTCCCAGTTTGAGGTCTGCAGACTGCGGATCGTCTTCCCACTTTGGGGCTTTAGGGTTTGGGTTGCCAAACTTGGACCTGAATTAGACCTAAAAGCCTCCAAAGTAACGGGTGAGTCAGGGGTGAGGTGAGTTAGGGAATCTAAATGCAAAGAAACGTTTGAGTCCGTCCAAACCTGCAATGCACTCAAGTGGCTCACTTTATGATTAAAGTGAATGGAGGAGCTTTAGAAGGACACGGCAGGGCAGCGCTAAAGTGTGTAAAGTAAAGTAGCGAAGCAGGGAACACACCAAATTACCTTCCTTTACTGCTCTCTCTGGGAGAGCGGGGGAGAAAATGCAGTGGCACCATCACTGTTTATGTCGGCTGTAGCATTTATTACAGCGTCGGGTGGATGAATATGAGCCGCGTTCCATAACTGCTTCAGCGTGGCATCGGAGTGAACGAGGCTGCACTGAAGCAGCTGGAACCGGAGGCGGGTTAGCTTAGCGTCACGTAAAGACGTGAAATTGGAGGCAAATAGATGAACAGCACAGGAGTACACACTGGAAGGTGGGATAATGATAAAGTTCCTTAAAATGGAGGGTGGGGTTAGGGGTTCAGGGGTTGTATATTTACATGTATATGGTGATAACAGCGAGACACAATAGATGGAAAAAAAAGATATTTTCCTACCTCCAAACTCTTCTTGGCTGGTGTTTCAGTCTGAGAATTCCTTTGTAGAATTCTGGAGTCTGACGTCTTTGACACCAGGTCCAGGAAATGACGCAAGTTCCTGTTGAGGGAAAAGAAATTCAGATGGAGCAGCTGCAAAACTTTAGTCAGATTTCAACTCAAGCTTTGGTTAAAATGTTGATGTTTTGGTTGGATTTTAAGGTTTAAACATGAACGTGATCAAACAAAACAAAACAAAACCCTGGACGAAGATAAAACGATACAAACTTGTCTTTTAAGACATCGATCCCCAACCCCTGGGCTGCGGCCCGGCACCAGTCCATGGACCAGTTGGTACCGGGTCGCACAGAAAGAATGCACATCTTAACCTAACATTATTTCCATTTTATTTATTACCTGATTCTGAACGATATCTTGAACGATACACAGCGGCCTAACTAATTATTATATTTATAAAATACCAGTTTTTATGTCTGTCGTATCGTTTTATTAAAGGCCGGTCCGTGAAAAAAAAAAACCTCAGACATTTAACTGGCACAAAAAAGTCTGGGGACCGCCGTTTTAAGAGACCTGTCTGAACAGGTTTCATTTCCATCAGATTTACAACGTAACATCTTCACAAACTAAATGTCAAACTTTTCTTCTGGAGTATAAAGAACGAAGAAAGGAATAAAAGACTCATTAAAGTCATGAATGATCAGGAAGACTGGCAGTGTTCGACCCAGGGTGAGGCTCACACATTTTCCATCACAAACACACAGACACAGGCCTCCAGGGTCGACCTAATGGGGGAGTGTGTGTGTCTGAGTGTGTGTCAGCAAGAGAAAAAAAAAAGAACACACACACACACACACACTCACAGAGTCATGCATCTACATCCATACACACTCACCCCTTCCATCTCCCCAGCTCCCTCTCCATCCGTGCTTCCTTTCCAGGCTCAAACCCGTGCACTAATTAATTCCCACCCCAGAACACGGCAGTGTGAGGAATGGGTAGAAGCGAGCAGGAGGAGCCGTGTAAGGCCCGCGAGCGGAATAATTAGGGAAGCAGAAAAAAGTGTGAGGAGGGAAAAAAAAAATAGAAAAAAAAAAATGACTAACTTCAACTTTTGCTGTATCATTCCTTTGAACTGTACTTCCTTTGTAGACACCAAGAACACCAGAGGATTCCAGTCAGACGGAGGCTGTGTCATCACACAGAGCCACATGGGCAGTCACCTGGGGCACCACCTGCTGGTGGGGCCGACATTGCCAGCCCTCAAAAAAAAAAAAGAAAAAAGAAAAAAAAAGAAAATTTCAAACAAACACATAAAATTAATTGCAATACACACATATATTGAAAAAAAAAGAAAATTTCAACAACAACAAACACATAAAATGAATTGCAATAATAGTTTGCAGCCACTAGGGTCTCTAAAATCAAAGAAATGAACAAGTGACAATATATGCATACATATATACACATACTGTATATTCCTAAATATACACAGATACACATATATATATATACAAACAAATAGATATTCACATATATAATATACATACATATATATGCACCATATATCTATATATCTATATATACAGACATATATTCCTATATATACATATATACAAACAAATAGATATACACATAAAAAATATACATACATATCTATGCGCCATGTATCTATATATACATATATACACATATAAACATATATGCATATATATATAAATAAGATTCAAAATTTTCCAGCTATTATTATTCAAAAACAGCATCCGTTTGTTTTTGTTTGTTTGTTTGTTTGTATCCATGGGACTTTCTAAATATTTGCACCAAAACCTGATCGTGGATTTTGATTTTATTTGTGTTGTTTTATTTTAAGATATTCATTTGTGTTTTTCAATGTTGTTTCGTTGTGTGTTTGCACCACCTGAGGTCAAACAGCTGTTGTCCATTAATTGGTCTAGTGTGTGCGTGCTGAGGGTTGGGGGGTGGAGGGGGGTATCAGGGGTGGTTTCATAATCTCGCCCAGGGCCCCAGAATGGCTAGAGCCAGCAGTGGCAGAGCACATCCTGTACAGTAGAGGACAGTGAGCGTCTGAGGGTCCCCATGGTCCAACCATCAATAATGTATGGTACCATGTGTCTACTGTCCTGTTTGTCCATCGATTCAGATGAAGGGAGCAAAGAGGAAACTATCAGAGGGAACAGGATCACAGGAAACACTTGATCCAGGTTGTGACTATATATAGACGGTGCCTTAGTAAGCGTGTTATTCCTCTGATGTTTCCCTACGACTGCACTGCACACTTCACTGCCCAAGACTTTGACATTTTAAAGCCCGCGAGATCATGACTTTACTCTTCATTCATTCATACTTAGAAATTGAGGAAAATTTCTTTTTCTTTTTTTTAGAAAACATCACTTTCCGCCAATAGTTTTACTAAAATGTCGCTGTCACTCATTGGCTAGCTTAGCTTAGCACGGACGGACAGGGCCCAGAAAGGCTTCATCTCCTTCAAAAACCTCTGAACGAACATTGAAAAATTAGTCAAATGTTGTGGTGTTTGCTGTGACTATATGTTAATTAATTAAGACGTACTTAACGATGTCCTCAACTGTCGTCGTACGCGATTTCAAATTTGTGTCTTGGCTAAGCTAAGTCATGCTAATTATGCTAATTCATCCCACTACACTTGTTGTCTCCAGTTTCAAGGAGCGGCTAGCAGACAGCAAACAAAAGTTTACATTACTACCCCCTACTGGTTGAATACTTTTCATGTTCTGCATCAAGGGCATGTCCTGACTGGATAAAAAATAAAAAAAAAACAAACAAGAAAAAGAGATGATGCAGATGAAAAATGTTCTGCATCAAGGGCATGTCCTGACATGTCCTAGATAAAAATAAAAAAACAAACAAACAAGAAAAGGAGGATGATGCAGATGAAATCTTCCAGTTGATTAAAAATATACTGAGACCAAAACCTTAAGCTCCTCCATACAGTTTATATTTTTAAAGAAATATATGTGTCTGGCAGATGGATATGATTTTATATAAGTCAGAAAAGAAACAGTGTTGTGAGGTAACAAGGAGGCTGAGGTGGGAAGAGTGTATCTACGTGTGTGTGTGTCTGTGTTAAAACCTGACTTGAATGAACAAGAACTTCTCTGGCGTCTGGAGGACGAGACAAACACGGTGGTGAAATCTCAGGCTTTTCCTCTTTATCTCCTGTTCATTTCCTGCAGCTCCTGTTTGGACTCTTCAACGAGAAACAACATTCATTAAATATCTGCAGAATGGCGGTTCACACCGTCCACTGTTGAAGTACACACACTCATTAGGAGACGTTTGAACTCGTCGACGGACGGAGCTGTTCTGTGAGGCAGAAGAGGACGACTGTTCTCTGTAATTGTCACGCAAAGACTCGCAGAGCACAACGCACAGCTCCAGGCGAGGAGGCAGCTTCGTGAGAAAGAGAGACGGGAAACTAGACTACAACGCCGAGGAAGGAAACGAAAAAAAAAAAAAGGCATCTCTGCTCTTCTCTTCCACAGAAGAATACCCGTGTGTCAGACCTCCTTTATTAGTTCACATCCATGAGCTTTTGGTTTGTTGACATTTGAATTAACTCTGAAGGCTGAAGATGATGTTAGAGCTGGGAATAGAAGGCAATGATTACGTATGATTAATAACAGACAAAACAAAAAACAAAACAAACAAAAAAAGTGTTTTTTTTTAGATTACATCTCTATGACTAAATTTGCAACAATGCAAGTATTTAATAAACATATCATGTACAGATTAAATGAGTAAATATATATCAAATATTATAAATGTAGGTAGCTCACTTTGGTCTGGTCTTATGAGAAGTTGTTGAAAACATGTGGACACTCCTGACCTACAGTATAACCTCAAGGTGAAACATATTGAACTTTAACAGAGCTAACGTTAGCGTAGTCCTGGTACAGACGCTAGTCCTGGTACAGACGCTAGAGCTAACATTAGCGTCAACAGTCCTGGTTGCAATTGAAACAAGTATAAAGATACAAAATTTAACAATAGACAAAAATGTCTAATGAAACCATAGTAAGGGTGAGGGGTCGGGGTGAGAGGTCAGGGTTCGCTTTGCTGTAAATGTTGGAAATATGAATGAATACTGAAGCCAACATATTCAGAGGGCGTGAACCCGTTTCTCTCCTTAACTGCCAATCAAAGGTGTTTATTTTCACCTGCTGTCAGGAGGTTTCATCCATTCATCTGAAATGATTTATGTTAAATAAATGAAGAAGCGCGAGTCCAGGTGTACGAAGAGATCTGTCCACCATGTTGATGCTTCACAGACGGACCGACCTTGGCTTTACTGCAGAGGAGTGAGAGCAGCGAGGTGTATGAAAGTGTTCAGGATGAAGAATAATGAAGAAGACCTTGGAAAGCTGCTTTTTCTGAGGTAAAGAATCTTCCTTCAATAGACGACCGAGTACAACGGGAACATTAGAGCAAAGAGACTTTACGGTTCTATCAACAACGAAGCCATCACCTCTGGAACGTCACTCCACACCAGAAATGTTGTTCTAACGACACCGAGGTCGACTACGGGGGCGGCAAAAAAAAAGTGCAATCCCTCGGGTATGAAGATGTTTCTCACATCCAGTTTCAAAGCAGCTGAACACAAAGACAAGTCAAAAAGTTCTCAGACGCAGTGGATGTTATCATTTCACGGGATGTTTCAAGAATTAAATTTCTTGAAAGTATTCTTTCTAATAATCACATTTTCCAATGAGTTGTTGGTCAAATCTGTGGCACAAGTTAAGAGACTAATTCTTTCTAATAATCACATTTTCCAATGAGTTGTTGGTCAAATCTGTGGCACGAGTTGAGAGACTTGAGACTTGACTTGGACTTGAGAACAAAGACTTGAGACTCTACTAGGACTAGAGAACAAAAACTTGAGAATTGACTTGGACTAGAAAACAAAGACTTGAGACTCTACTCGGACTTTTCTTGGATGTAGACCAAATGAATTGAGAACATCTCTCGTACTGAGCACCACCTACAGGTCAGCTACATGCTCAACGTTGACAAACACAGACTTCTACACCATAATAATTTCATCCTCTGTTATTCCACATTTGTAGCTGTATTTCTATTAAAAAAAACCACGCTCCGGTGGTGGGTTGAAAGTGCACGTGTGGATTACACTCACAGGGTTAATTTGGTTTTCCCTTTAAAGTCTACATGCTCGGCTCGGCGCTGACATTTAAATGCATTTTAAAGCTGTGCCATTTTGCCGACCACACTGACCTTAAAGCATGAAGCCCGGTCCCAGACACGGCCCTCTGAGCAGCGGAGCGGTAATAACATTCTCCACGCTGTGCAGGCACAGCGCCACCGTTTGATAAATCTCATTATGATACAGAGGAAAACGTCGACGGCTCGAGTCCGAGATGAGTTCATCAGTGATTTGTCCTAACGTGCGACGGCACTCATTTCCCGTCTGTAACGAACAGTAACAGTGGTTTAACGCCGAGGCGAGCAGCGGTGGAATTTGAGCATCACACCGACGACCTTTGATTAAAACACAACCAACCACTTGCTGTAGAATGTGCTGTAAAGCCTGTGGTCATCCATCTAGCGCTGCGCTAACACATGCTAATGAACTGGGTTTGAGTCGATGAAGGGCCAGCCGTGAAGTACAGAGCCGCAGTGGGCTCTCGGCGGCGTGGACCCTTCGCCTCGCGTCACCTGTCTGATTCCCGCTCCACTTCCTGCTTCAGTATCTGCAGCTTCTTCTGATCATAAACTGAGGACACTGTAATGACCTCAGCAGAAAAGGTTTTACTTCAGAGGATTCATGGTGTGAAACAGGAACCGCAGCAGCGTCTCGCTGAGCTACGGTTGTTGTTTTTTAGTGACCAATTAAAGGAGGATTTATTTGAATCTGAAATGAAGCAGAGTGGGTTGTTTTGGGGGAGGAGAAAAAAAAAAATTGGAATTGATTAAACGGGGGACACAATGAATTTTTAGTGGGGGGGGGGTATTGACTTTAGTTAATTGTTCAGAGAACTGAGGAAGTGTGTGTATGTGTGTGTGTGTGTGTGTGTGTGTTTAAAGCCTAGCATTGAATAGAAACAAATATATGCTAAACGGTCGACAGAGATTTTCATTTTAAATGGTTTGTGTGTGTGTGTGTGTGCGCTGCATGACCTTACATGACAAGTGGTGAATTGAGGAGGGCACGCACTGAAGTGAAGCAGTCACGGAGAAACAGGGGTTACTCTGGGATCAAGACAGGTATCTGCACACACACACACACACACACACACACACACACACACACACACAGATGTGTTTGGTGTTTTGATTGCTCTTCACGTAACCATGATGCATTTCTAGCAATTATTCAAATCCCAACTCCAAAATAAATCTTGGACCTCAAAATAAGGAACACACACACAGTACTCTTAGTGTAACATCACAAAAAAAAAAAAAACATAAAAAACTTTAATTCAGATGAAGAACAGAAGAAAACCAACAAAGAAGCAAGAAAAAAAAATCTGTTCACAACAACAACAACGTGGTCCGAGGTCAAGACAAGGACGTTGAGTCCATCAGATCAATGTTCTTCACTTTCTCTTTCAACTCTGCAGATCTGGTGATTCAACGACTTCTTGGTTTTCAGCCCGTGCAGCTCAAAACATCGTGACAAATGCAAAGCAACATGAAGCAGTTCACTCTGAGACCTGACGGTAGCTTATTTCTCACTCATGGCAAAACAAAAATAACAATAATAATAATAGGACAGTCACATACCTCTGCTTTCTAGGAACTAAGGTTCCGAGTTGTGGTGCTGCACCCTGGTGGTAAAGTTGGGGGGTGAAACCTCTAGCCGGATGGTAACCTTCTGGAATAACATGCTTATTATTAAAAGTGAAAAAACAAGAAAGAACAACAGACTGAGCAGTCATCTGAGTGAGAGTAACCTGGGGGTAATCCTTCCTCTCCTCTCCGGATCATCTCTTGATCTCGTCCCAGTGTCAGGAACGCTGACACGTCTCTGAGCCCGGAGCCGCGCGGCTACGCTACATTTCCCAAAAGCACACAGTTTGAGCCGCAGTCTCGGTTCTTTACGACCAGCACTTCTGCCTCGTTCTCCCGTCGTTAACTCTTTAGCCTTTCTCTTATATCACGTCCTCACTCTTCTGTGGATTATTTTCCACTCCGTCTTCCTCCCGTCTTGTCTTTTAGTCCTGCGTCTCAGGGCCGGGAGGTTAGATTGAGTTTCTACACCATTTGGTCGATGGATTCCCTCGACACGACTCTCTCTTTGGATCAACTTTTTTTTTTCTTTTTGACTGTAAAAATAGTCGAAAGGTCAATTAAAGAGGTTGTTTTCCTAAAGAAAAGAGCAGATTCATATTTTGGCAGCTTCTGCCGAGGACGTTTTACGGCCATCTGTCTGTGACTAATTTGGGTTTTTATTTCACATCAGAGGAAACCAGACGTCAGTGCGTCTCCTCTGATTAAAGAGCTTCTGTAAAGATGTAAAAAAAGGATCATCAGAGCTGTTGAAGAGGATCTTTGTGAGTGTCTTTCTTCAATTCCTGCCGGTAAGTGTTGTCTTCAACACTGATCTAAACAGATCAACTTAATTAAAAATCTGGTCCAGATGTGGACTGGAGAAGATACTACAATCTGGGCTGTTTGTATCCAAACTGAATCCCAAAGTTTACATGGAATGACCTTTGACCTGAGCTTTCGTCAGGGGTCACTACATTGGCAGTTCACATGGTGATTTGGCAGAGTCTTTACACTGGACGCAACCCAATTTGTGGACTGGATCCGACTTGGGAATTGTGTGGTACTGAACGCATAGCCCTCTAGTGGCTGGTGGGAGTACTATGACTGTGGGACAAAAGTATAAATATAGACAGAGATTCAGAATTGGTTTGGTTAGAAATTTAACCAACCACAGACGATGTTTCAAATTAACGAGCCAGATGAGATCGGAATCCAAAGAAACCAAGATCAGATCGGTTCAGTAGAGACTGGATTCTGGATCTGTGATCCTCATCAAGGCCTGTCCCGACTTGTATTCGAACTACGATGCGTTCGGGTGTCACCATGAGCCCAGATCCAAAGATCTGCTGACTCTGACATTTTGTCTGTTCCTGACTGTCACATGTTGACACATTAAAGTTTGAACCGACTCAGCGAGGACGAACGTCCTCATCACACGTCATGAAGACACACCGTCATGAATAAATGGAGCAGGACAGAGAGGACACTGAGACTATTTTAGCTTCGCTTCATCCATCATTAAAACCACCCACTGAGTGGACAGACATGTCAGAGGAGTCAGTGATGGATGGATGGGTCGGTCGGTCGGTCGGTGGGTGGACGGACGGACGATTGGATGAACGGCCTCAAAGACAGTAAGGAAGACGGAGTCCTGTACGTCACGTCTTCAATCTTTCAGTCTTTGTTTCCTGGACCGGGACCAGGACAACAATCCGACATGTGACATATTCCCATCAGCGCCGTCGTCGGGCTGCGGCTGAGCTTCAGTGAGCCGATTATTAATGGATGTGAGAGGACGAGGACAGTGACGGCAGCAACAGGTGCGGCACAGCGTCTGTCCTCGTCCGACTCATCCATTAACCACACACAGCCTCCCATTATCTACTGTATCCACTTTAATATTTTACCGTCCGTGCTGCGGTGCGTCTGCGCCCCGCCGGCTGTCACTTTTCTGACCTTGTTGCGCTCCTGTGCAGCAGTGTGTGATGACGGATCACCCGGAGGGGATTAAAGCCTCGGAGGCGAGCGTCTCTTAATTAACCAGCTTCCAACGTCTCTGCTGCAGAAACCGTCGGAGCTCCTCTCCTCGACGAGTCTCCGTTTGTAGAGTTCTTTAGAAAAAGAAGAACTCACGGTTTCCCCCTCTGCACAAAGACGCCTTCGCCACAGAAAAACCAAAGCCTTTTCTTTATCCCTGCAGTCGGAATCCAGAGAAGACGGCTTTTTTTATCTGCAGGTTTATAAAAAAATAGTATTTATTCTGTATGAAAATCAGGACTAATTTACCACAGCAAACTGGGGGTTACGTGAGGTTTTGTTGATCCAGCTGCAGGACTCGTGGTGTCGACATTAGATCATGTCGATTATTTCTACTCTAATACTATTTTTTTTCATAATCTCTGTCAGTGTCTGACAGTGGCAGATTACAGAGTCCGTCCACTAAAAAGCTACAGTATCTGCTGGTGGACCGCATCACTGTCGGCCTTAATCTGGGCCGCACCAATGTAGCTACCGATGTGGACCACATGGGGAAAAAAAAAACATCCTGCAGCCCATTATATCTGGACGTCATCGCTGTGGATCTCGTTAGAAGCTGGAAAAAGAAAAAAAAAAATCAGATTTGTGTAGCATAAATTTTTAAAAGCTCATTAATTGAATTAATCAACTGCACGAGGATCCATTACCTGCAACATGAAAGGGTTTACGTCAACAAAACACACTCAACGTATAAATATTTCATCATCATGTACAGACCCAAGGAGACAGTAAATAAACTGGACACTAGTGTGTGTGTGTGTGTGTGTGTGTGTTTAACTATTCATGAACCAGTGTAGTTTATAGAAGAAGTGGACACAGATCTCTGATTACAACCAGTTGACCAATGAGGACAGACCTCAAACCCAACACTGTGTCAGGATGGAGTGGTGATGCAGTACATGCATTTACCAGAAGGTGAACCCAGCCCAGAGATTATCACAAGCAGCCAGTGTTTGTTGATCCGTGCTGTTGGCCACCAGGAGGACGGACCACAGGGAGGACAGAAGAGGAGGAGGAAGGGAAGAAAAAAAAAAAAAAAAAAAAACCTCGACAATATACTGATGCACATCTGAGCGATGAGACCCAACAGAATAGAGCAATAATCCAGCTGTGGTTCACAGGCCCAGCCGGGGAGATACAGTTCATCCTGAACATAATATGTGAGAAAGAGATGAAATGTCAGATACTGTGGTTGAATAATGCATGTACACAGTCGGAGCAAATACTACTACAGATACACAAACAAAGAGAGTATATGGTATTGGTAGCAAACATGTTCATGTATGCATAGACAGCGAGACGGGAAGACAAGACATTCAAACCCATGAAAGGTTACATCGTACGCAGATGACATCATTCAATTCACATGCAATTTTTTTGATAATTTTTTTTCCGGGTCAACACAACTGCACAGTTATTACAGGATTGTTTAATAATTTAATTGTATCAAACAGTTTAGCATCTTCCGATTAGCTATACGCTTCTAATTGGCTAACCTACAGCTCATGAGGGGTTAAACCTTGGGGCCTTTACATTCTCTGATGTCATTAACTGATAACCCAGGGGCCAATCGGTGGGTAGTGACACAGGAGGATTATTTGGAAACAATAGCGGCAATAGCTAATTAGCAGCAAACTCACTGGCAATGCTATCTTGGGTCTAATTCACTTTATTTTTTGCTTAGCACTTAGCTAATGTCGCAGGTAATTTGATACAACTTTTAACTATACTTTAGTCATGTTAGCTTTAAACCATCTTTTAGCTAATGCTTAGCCATTTGAGCTAACTTTTACCCCCCCCCCCCCTATAAAAAAAGGTTGGGGCGTTTTTCTCTCACTTACTTTGTTTTTTTTTTTTAAA